TGCGGGCACATGTGTTAGGGCACTCCACATGTCCCTGGGATAGACATGGGTTTAGAGAGTCCCTATTTGTGAGTGCCCTGTTCTTGTGCTAGATATCTGAGCATCAAATTAACCTACAACTGGGAAAGTGCTAACACTTTTTATATCAGTTCAGTGCGTAAGGAATCCCAGCTTGGTCATGCAGGGCATTCTTTCTCACAGGGAATTGTTTTCTCTGCAGTTAATAATGTCTCTAGTCCCTGTCATGATTATCACACACTCGTATTTTAGAGGCTAGGATTCAAACATTAGGTTTAGTTTTCTTAGTCTTTATAACTGTATGAACTGTCATGTTACTGCTTCTCACACACACACACACACACCCCGCCAGGAGGATAGCCATGCTGCAATGCCTTTTCCTTCATTTTTTTGGTGGGATTTTGGACACACAAGCACAAATGCCTGGTGTATTTTCCAAGCCTTTGGGTCTGGGACTTGAACCTTGCAGTTGTCTGTGTGGCATCCAGTGCTTTAACCACCACAGTTAAGGCCCAGTTTTCCTTTTTAAAAAAGTGCTTTTACATTTTGATTCCCTTATGAGCTGAGTTTGGGTCTCAACACTAAGTACTTGACTTTGTTATGTTTGAATGGGGCCCAGGGTGACTTCCCCAAACATTTCACACATTCCAGGAAAACCTCATTGAAGAACCAAGAACCATTCTGCTTTGATGGGAGCACCAAAGCAATCTAGGTTTTTGTGTCTCTCTTGGGCTCATTCATCTCGCCAGTCTCTTCTGAACATCTCAGAGCAATTGCTGTCGATGTGGAATTTCCTGTAATACCATTTTATTTGTTTCTAATAGAGGAAATGCATGCTGAGATCTGTTACGCCGAGTGCCTCCTGCAGAAAGCAGCACTTACATTTGTGCAGGTAATGAACGTCTGGCATAGAACTGCAGTTGGGTGGGAAGACTGCCAGTGCCGCATTGAAAAACGTGGCTCCTTCTGTGTGGGGGCTTCAGTTCTTTTGACTCTGGGTAGTAATGAAACATATTTGTTATTCTGATAAACTTTGGCTGTCAAAAGATGCCAGAGAGTTTTTTTTTTTCCTCTTCTCGCTTTTTTTTTTAGAGGTTTTTGCCTTAGGATGCATGGGCTCGCCAGGGGGCGAAGGGGGGGGGAGAGAGAGAGAGAGAGAGAGAGAGAGAGACAGACAGACAGACAGACAGAGACCGATAGACGGTGAGAGGAAAAGTGAGAAATCAGCCTCCGGGGGTTGACCATGCTGAAATCCCTCCTCCTCCATTGTCCTCCCAGGATCTTAGGAATGCACGTACATGTGTCCAATGTGTCTGTTGGGCCTGTAGGAGTCCATTGCTGTAACCGCTATGCCATCTGCTGGCCCCAAGACACCAGAGAGTTTCATTTCTATTCAGAAACATTTCGAGTTTATTTTGAATTTCAGTCTCTTGGGAATGACTATCTTCTTTTTTTCTTTTCTTTCTTTTTTTTTTTTTTTTGGGAGTTTTTTTTTTTTTTTTTTTTTTTTTTTAAGTGTGATTTCTGCTATAGGTAATATGTGCTCTCTGAAAAGTCACAGACAGAGTGATAGAAAGCATGAAACCACCCCGTGGGGGGAATGGCCACACCACAATCCCTGCTTTTCACGCATGCACACGTGCGCCTGGCATGAGTTTAAGCCACCGGGTCCGGGATTCGAACTGTGGTCGACTACATGGGGATCCAGCAACATAGCTATTACGCCAACTACTGGTCCCAGGAATGACTACCTTTTAAAGAAACTGCCACATGTAATTTCAGGATTCTTCTCCGTGTGAAGACGGTGAGGTTATGCTTCTTTACTCTTGCTTAATGGTAGAGGGCTACGCATAGGGGTTGCCTGGCAGAAAGGGCCGCCTTGATCCTGCCCTTCTTAGACCGTATGCCTCAGCAGGGCTCAGGTATGCATGCATGGATAGCCAGACTTTCCACTCATCAAATCGTATGTTTCGTCCTCTTTATGTTTGTAGTGTCCTTTCTTGCTTTTTATTTTTTCCTTTGAAAGAGCAGTTTGTAAGGCACTAAATCAAAAAATAAATCCTTTTCTTAGGTGACATTTTAATTTGGTCACTGCAACCAGTATTCGGCCTTTCTCTGTATCTTCCAATCCTTCTAAAACACATATATTTGGAGTGGAAGGATGAGGTAGGATGGAGATTATAGAGAAACAGAAAGAAAACCCCATCATAACATGGAAAATCTTCCCTAATTTCAGTCTTTCAAGTTAATTTGAGAGTTGCTTCTTTCTTTTTCTGGAAATTGACCTCTTACGTTGGATTCTGGTTTAGTTACATTGAGCTGTTCTGGGGAGTGGCTTTGTGGCTTTATAGTTAAGGCAGCAAGATCCCACATGACTGACCCTGTGGCTTAAGTCTTGAACCTGAAGACTTGAAAACCATGCTGGATGCATAAGTCTTGAACCTGAAGACTTGAAAACCATGCTGGATGCATGAGTGAGCATGTCTGAAGTCCTGACAGGACTCTGGCCAGTGCACATATTCTCTGGCAACATTTTAAAGAACATTGAATTAGTGTGATCCATGACCCTATTTCCTAACACACTCCACATTATGATGACTGATGAGTTACATAGTTATTTATCATTGCCTCAGCAGATATCATAGTGATAGTCACTAGGCCTGAACTTTTTCTGATGCGTCTTTTACATAAAGGTATGATAATCAAATCTGGGACTTAAAGGTTTTTTTTAATATGTAGAGGCTTGGAATTAAACATCTGGGTGGTTATCCATGATTTTTCCCTCTTCCTTATACCCCCCATAGCCATTCACTTTCACATTCGTGCTGCTTTTGCCTTCTAAAGATGTCACGGCTCCATCTCTTCCTCTATTCTGACTGTCTCATTCTGGTAGAGGTGCTCCTCAGCAGCCTAGTGATTCTGTCTCTGTTTTCTTCTTCCTCTAGCTCATTCTTCATTCTGCATTGAGTGCTCTCCCCCACATGGGACTGATCTTGTCATTTCTCTGCTTCACCAGTTAGTAGCTCTCACTGACCATGGCATGTTCTATATCACAGTATCACAAATAGGGGTGCCTCCTCTCAGATTCCCTACTCCCCTCCCCCCACACACACACTTCCCTTCAGATGTCCTGGGATGCTGTCAGTGGTATGGGGTAGGGGTGGCTTCCCTACCATGTTTGGTCATTCTCTTCTTTGCGGGAGATTCTTAGCAGTGCAGATTCTTGCACAGATGGCCAAGCACACTGTGATCGTTAAGGTTGCCCTGCCTTTCCACCTGAGTTTTCCTTTGCTTGGAAAGTTCACGTCTGCTTTTTTTTTTCACCTGGACACTTAGTAATAATTTTGTGCTTTAAGCACCAGTGCTTCCAGGAGGCTTTTCTGGCCCTCTTCATTCTGCCTCATCCTTTTGCTCCCATGACATCCTGTGTACACCTCTATCCCTTCCTTCCAAATTCATTCTATGATGCCTCCATTACCCTCATTCCCAAAATGGATAAGGATATGACAAAAAGGAAAACTACAGACCTATATCTCTGAAGAATATAGATGCAGAGATTCTCAACAAGATACTTGCTAACCGTATTCAACAGCATATAACAAAGATTATTCATCATGACCAGGTAGGCTTTATTCCAGGGATGTAAAGGTGGTTTAACATACGCAGAACCATAAATGTAATACACTATATTATCAGAAATAAAGATAAAAACCATATGATCATTACAATTGATGCAGAAAAAGCATTTGACAAAATACAACATTCCTTCATGATTAAGACTCGGCATAGAAGGACTGTTCCTCAGCATAATAAAAGTCATCTATGAAAAACCTATAGCTAACATTATACTAAATGGGGAAAAGCTAAAAACTTTTCTATTAAAGTCTGGTACAAGACAAGGCTGCCCACTCTCTCCACTCCTATTCAATACAGTACTGGAAGTCCCAGCCAATGCAATCAGGCAAGAGAATGAAATAAAATGCATCCTAATAGGAAAAGAAGAGTTGAAATGATTTCTGTTTGCAGATGACATGATTGTATGTATAGAAGACCCAATAGTATCCATGAAAAAACTTCTCGAAGTAATAAATACATACAGTAAAGTGGCAGGATACAAAATTAACTTAAAAACCTGTTTAGCAAATGGTGCTGGAAAAACCGGGTATCCACCTCCATTCCTGTGCATGCCCTATCCTTGTGCATGGCTTAATCCCTCTGCACATTGTATTACTTTTGTCTGCTTTTGTATTTGGGTGCCTGATGTGAAATAGGCATCTGGTAAGTGTTTGAAAGTCATGAAATGAAACACTCTTATTCAGAGCAAATTTTAACCTAATTTAAGAAAATATTTTCTGGTTGGTATTGGAACTTATGTAAGGCTAAGATATCTTCAAATTGGGGCTAGCAGGTGGTTTGGTGGTTGAGGCACTGGACTCCCACATGGCTGATCAAGGTTCAAGTCCTAGACCCAGTGGCTTGAAAAACCACAACAAATAAATAGATAAATAAATGAATAAATATTAATAAAAAAGAAAAATGATGTTTTCAAATTGGAAGATAAACATTTGAGTTATGTAGTGAATTTTTTTGTCTATTGATTCCTAAAATAGTTGGAATGTGAAGTATTAAAGTAATTACTGAAAATGAGACTAAATTAAGTAAACTAAATTAAGTTTTTCTTCTGCTTTAGAAGGATGCTCAAGAGTACAGGAAATACATGCCAGACCATCTTACCAGTGTCAATTGACTAGAAAAGCATTCTCCTTGGAAATAGGAAACATAGAACTATCCTGATTAGCACCATCTACCAGTGTAATTTCCTTCAAGCAGTTATTGATGTAATTTATTAAGAGACTCTCTTAGAATCTTAGAATGCTGATCCTGAAAATGCCATTCATTTAGGCCAACTGCCTCAATTTCATGGTCTGATGACCACCAGGCAAAGAGAAGTAAAGTAATTTTCCCCCCAAACAACATTACATATTAGTGACAGCTGCTTCAGAATCTGGACCAGTTATTTTTGGTCTGGAAATGTGTATGAATGAAATTCATGATGTTAAACAGACGCCAGATGAATGAAATTCACTATGTTAAATAGACTTTGCCTGCTAAAGTACCATGTGAAAGAAGAACTACAATGAGTATGATGAACTGAAAGTTTGGCCTTAGAGCAGATTCTTTTTTTAGTTTGTTGTAGGGTGTGTGCATGCTCCACAGAGAGACAAAGAGAGAAGGAAAATGAGAAATCACCTCCCGGGGGAGATGGTCATGCCACAGTCTCTTCTCTTTTCTCCTCTTGTGATTTTGGGCAAACAGACATGCAGCTGGTATGTTTTTAAGCCACTGGGTCTGGGACTTGAACCATGCAGTCAGCCATGTGGGGTCCAGCTTTCTTAACCTCCACACTACCTGCTGGCTCTAAAACAGATCCTTAAAGTCTACAGTTTTGAATTCTTTGCACCTAGAAGAAAATTGCTCAGAAGATGATTGTTAGAGTAGGTTTGAATTACATATGACTTTAATTGGTTAGGGTTACTTCTTTGGTAATATAAAGTAATACAAGGACTTAAACATTTTTTCTTGGGGGCATCAGGTGGTGTGGTGGGTTAAAGTGATAGTTTATTGTAGTTCAAGTTCTTAACCTGGTGGCTTGAAAGTCATGCCAGGTGTGTGTGCATGAGTGCCCAAAATCCTGAGAGGAGAATGGAGGAGAAGGGACTGCAGTGTGGCCATCTGCCCTGAGTGATTATTGCTTATTTTCCCTCATTTTGTCTCTCTCTTATTCTTTCTGGAGAGTGCACATGCTCTATGGGAAAAAAAAAAAGGAAAAAAAAATTCTTTATATTGTCCTCTAATATAGGAAAAAAATTACACAAAAATGCCCATTTCAAATGTAAAGGAAGACAATATTAATTTGAAAATTATATCCTTAAAAGACAGTGTTTTTTTTTTCCCTCCCTAATAACGTGGATGTACAGCTGCGGAGATAGTTTAAATACTCTTACTAAATAATCTAATGATTTAATTAATTTTTTCCCAGGATGAAAATATGATCAACTTCATCAAAGGTGGACTCAAAATTAGAACAAGTTACCAAATATATAAGTAAGTTAAAAAGTAAAATGTGGCTTTTAGATGATTCTTGTGCTCTGTGCTACCTTGTTCTCCTGAATTCTAACAAACTAAGTGAGACTAGGTTTTCATTTTTTGTTTGGTGCTAATAAAAATGCAATCAATTTGTGTGTGAGTATGTGTTGTGTGTCATAGGACAGCAGAATTCCAGTTTAAATATGATTTTTTAAAAAAGTTTTCTTTATTCATAATAGACATTGTGTGCCCCCTTTGTGTAGGTGGGGAAGCACCTCCACATAGTCTGGTCGCGCTGTGGTATTGCACCAGGTGATGCATGGTATCTGATTATTCTTTATTACTTTTAATGTTTATTCATTTATTTTATTTATTTCTTCCATGAGGGAGAGAGACAGAGAGAGATAGAAAGCACCTTAAGCAGGGCCTCTATGCCAGTCTACTCCCAGCCCCAGCCAGCCCTGGACTATGGGCACACACATGTCCAATGCGCTAAGGGAGGTCTTGAGATATGATCCTGGGACGTTCCCGTGTGGCTCAGCCTGTTAAAATGTTACGTTTTACTGCTCTGCCACCTTCCATCTTCTACCTACTGGTTCCCTTAATTGCCTTTTAATTTGTCAATTTGATAAATAATTCCTAGTTATTACCAATTTTTATGTCTTTGTTGTTTTAATTTGCATTTTTCTGATTAAGTATTTGGCTTTTTAAGATAACGTGAAGGCTGGGACCAGCAGGTGGCATGGAGGTTAAGGTGCTGGACACACCCACATGGCTGACCATGGTTGAGTCCTGGACCTCGTAGCTTCCTTTCTCACTTTCCCTCTCTCTTTCTCTGTGTCTCTCTATGTTTAAATGAAAACAAATGAATGAATAAATAAAATTAAAGGAAATCATTCTTTAAAGAAAATATAACATGAAAGAAAAGAGAAAAATACATACAAATAAGATAAAGTGAGAAAGTAAAAGAATTACTTGGGTGGAGTAGGGTAAACGGGACCAATGGGGCAGGTATGATGGCACTTGCTGTCCCTTTTCAGTCTTTCCTGACCACAAGCTGTCATTCATCTGGTCTGTCTGAGATCATGGCAGTCACACTGAAATTTGGATTTTTTGCCAGTAGCTTCTCAGTTCCTTGGTAGGAGACAGGGTTGCTGATGTATGTCCACGATGTTGCCTATGAACTCCTGCCTGGGAGTGGTGAGATCACAGCCCCATGGTCCTGTGGCTCCTGGTTCCGCTTCCTTGTGCTTGAACCTTCTCCTTTGTGAAGCCTGGAAAGATGGATCTTGTTAAACACTATAAAAAATGGATGTCTCCTTTTTCCTTAATGATTACTATCCATTATCTTTAACAGTAAACTTAGTACAGCACCATGGGTTTAAAAGCTCAAGGGCTGGTCAGATAGTCTAGCGGTTAAGGGAGAGAAATCCCTTATGGCTGACTATAGTTTGAGTCCTGGCTCTGGTGGCTTGAAAAACATGCTGGGGGGTACCAACATTTAGCGTAATGGCTATGTCGCTGAACTCCCATGTAGTTGACTGCGGTTTGAGTCCCGGTCCTGGTGGCTTAAAACTCACACCGGGCATATGTGCTTGTATGCCCAAGATCCCGAGAGGAGAATGGAGGAGAAGGGACTGCAGCATGGCCATCCCCCCTGGGAGTTGATTTCTCGCTTTCTGTCTCTCTGTCTGTCTGGTGAGCACACATGCCCCGTAGCAAAAAACCTCTCAAAAAAAATTTTTTTTTTAATTAAAAAAAATAAATAAATAACATGCTGGGCATGTGTGCCTGTTTGCCCAAAATCTCAACTGGATGAAGAAATGGAGGAGAAGGGATTGCAGTGTGACCATGCTCCATTGGTGGGTACTTCTCTCTTCTCATCTCTCTGTCAAGTGCACATGCCCTCTGGCAATGACAGCAATTTTGTAATAATAGGCTAATGATATGCATAGAACATAAAGTGAAATTTGGTTTAACATTTATTTTCACAGTCCTGGTAAAATTACACTGTAACTGTTTTTCTTCAATTTAGAGAATGTCTTTCTATCCTACAAGTAATCGAGAAGAACAAACTTGAACAGGAATTCTTCTATGAATTTGAAGGCGGTGTCAAACTTGGCACTGGAGCCTTTAATTTGGTAAGGATGTGATTATTTCCTTCTCATTGCCCTCTAGTCTAGATTTGAACCGCATCCCTCTATCTGGGTTTGTTTGTAGGATCAGCTTTTCAGTTTCCCCCGGGTGTTTTGGCCAGTGTGTGGTGAAACTTCTGCACATGCTCAGAGTAGGTTTGGATTGTACAGTGGAAGGGAAGCGTGTAGACTGAGTGGACTAGGAAGGTTTTTGGTAACAAGGAGCTTGGAATCCAGTCCCATTTCCTTATCAGAAATATGGTGGCTGTGACAGTGTGGTGTCTTTGGAATCAAACATGGGTGAGGGATTGATGTAACTTGAGGAATGATTTTTCATGATCTCTGGAAATATGGAGACCCTGAGTTGAAATCTGTGGAATTCCAATGTATAACTTAGAGATTTGGAAATTATATTAAGGTTTGACTGGAATTAGTGAGAAAATAAAGTGATAAGAGAATCTTACATATGAGCAGCTGCACCACCCTGGCCCCTGGGTTCCTGAGCCTGTGTGCGATGACCAGGTGGCTAGAAAGCGGCTGACTGGTGTCTGTAGAATAGGTCATCCTGTCCTCTTAGTTATTAAAATCCTCTCCTGCTGAGTTCACCATTTGGGGACAACTTATGTGGAACACAAATATCTTCATGTTTTCTACCCATTCAGAAGAATCTGTCCCTGTACCTCTTCCCCCAACCTACTTGTCACCAATTTTTCAGTCGCATTCCTTTCAAGTCCCTGACCATCCATCCAAACCATTGGCCACAACCCATGAATCAGTAGATAATCGCATGTATGACCAGTTCTTCCGTTGACCAGAGTTCTCTCTGCTAGAATTTCCCTTCACTACTGTTCTTTCAGGGAGAGATAGCTGTCCATTCTGGGTGGTACCTGCATGTCACACAGAGTCAAGTAGATTATTGCTTTCTGGGGAAGGAAGCTAAAAGAATCTTGTCTGGAGGTGGGTGCAGAGTGGTTGGCATGAGCACCTGCAAGAGAGAGACAGAGGGGAAGGGAGAAAGCACGCCTCACCTGGGCATGGCCATGCCACAGTCCCTTCTCCCTGCTTCTCAATCCCCTTAGGACTCTGGGCACACACACACACACACATCCCTGGTACCTTCCTCAAGTCACTGGGACTTGTATTTGAATTACACCATGAGCCATATGGGCTCTGACTCTCCTAAACAATAGGCCATGGGACTGGCCCCAGGCATTTTGTTTGTTTAAATTATTTGTAGGTTCCATGTGCTAGCTAAAGGAAATTAAATCATAAATAATTAATCCAATAGTATGTGATGATTTAGATTTATCTAGTGGTTTAAACTTCTAACTTTTCATATTACTGAAGCATTAAAGCCTTAAGTTTTTTGTAATTAAACATTTATCTATAGTTAGATAGATACATTAACACATAAGTACATTTGTATTCTTTTTGTTTTCTTACAGATGCTGTCCCTTTTACCTGCAAGGATAATCAGATTACTAGAATTTATTGGATTCTCAGGAAACAGGGTACACATTTTATTTTATCTTAATTTTGATAGAGAAGATAAAACTTTATTGACTATGAGGGTAATGCAGTGCATCCTCCTAGCTGGCATGATAATTAGTGACAGCTTGCAGGGTAGTCAAGAACTATTGATTTTTATTCATATTTTCCAAGAAAGAGCCATTGACTCATATTCATATTTTCCAAGAGTTAGATAGGATTTTTCACCTCTGTTACCTACGTTCTGGGATTAAAATGTACATTTTATTAATATTGCTGCTTGCTGGATCTTTGTTTCTCTTGTGTGGTTAAAATATGCTTCCTTAACATTTTAGCAACCCTAGAATTGTCCACTATAAAATGAAGAAATTAAACCTGATTTCTCTGTTTATCACGTTATGATTCCAATGAATCAAATAGTATCTGTCAAATACAGTTTCAGTATTTTGCATTCTGTGTGTTTTATAAGTTTCACTCTAATGTTAAGAAAAAAATTGTTTCCTGTGAGTTTTGGTGGTGGTTTTATAATGAGTGTGTAACATTTATTAATCATAAAACAAATAGCTATTGCAAGAGTTGCAGAAGCTGTGTCTGTTAGTCATGAGGGCAGGTTCTGAGAAACAAGTAGAAGAAGCCGTACTTTGTTCCGTGTGTATTCCCCGTCGGTTTCTTCATAAGCTGCTGTGCATACGCCTTTACAGTATATTCTGTTTATTCCGACTCTATTGTATGGTAACGCTTCTCCTTAACCATTCATCTTCTGCCTCATTCTGTCCTTCCGTGGCTTCAGATTGCCTCTTGAATAAAATCCAGACTACAACATGGCTTCAGGGACCCCCACAGCCTGATTGTAGCGAGTGTTTCCAGCCGCACAACCCATACTTCTTGCTTTCTT